TACACACTTACATACTTTTATTTAGCTATACACTTTTTTGGTAGTGAAGGAGTTAAAGCCAAGTACACGCAGGCTTATTCATTGAGCTAACTCAATTTACCATCCTCTGAGATTTACAACACCATCTCTGAAATTGTGTTTGGCAAATAACTGAACTATAGTTTTGGGTTAAATTCAAGGTCATTTTTCTTTTTTCTTTTTTTTATTTTCAAATCAATGCCTAATTCACACCCTAGTGAATCACTCCAGTGGACTTTTTGTTAATGGAATAGTTTGGTTTCTTCAAGGTTCTGTACATTAACATTAAAATATTTATATTGTACCCATTTTCTAGGGCAAATAGAATAATTGTGCTTAATTTTGCTTTGTCTATATATGATTGTGTTTTGTAAAATGGGATTCATGTTGCATACATGTTATGCATTGTATAGAACATTAATGATAGTGAGGAATCTACTGGATTCTTATTATTCAGCCTTTTGTTCCATCAGGTACCTATTATGGACCACCCCCAGCCTATGTTCCTCCACCAGGGACCTATCCAGTGGCTCCTGCACCCTATGCTTACCCAGGCTATCCAGTACCACCTCCTCCAGTAGCTGGCTATGTATGTGTAGCTAATCCTCCCTGTGCACCTGGCTATCCCTGTCATCATGGACATTATGGACATCATGGTCATCATGGTCATCATGGTCATCATCACCACCATCACCACTGCTAAAATGGCCATACAAATGCAAGTATATTTAATTTGTAAACAGTTACATATACCGTATTAATGTACATCATAATAATAGTAATAGTTATAATATTAAAAATCAGGTTTACTGCAGTCTGTATTATTGCATTGTATATAAAAGACATTTTGGTTCAAGTTACTTTTTCTCTTGCCAGATACTTGCTAAGCTTGGCAGTAAAAACATTTAGTAACTAACTGCAATATCAAGGCTGTATGGCAGGGTTGGCAGGTGTAAAATTACCTTTAAATACATGACAAGTGTTAAACTACAGACTTTTGTGATCCATGGGCACCATTCTTCCATTTTGGTGTTAAACCCTTTTAAATGTTTTAATTCCTAAATGAGAGTCCCCAGCATTCTTATCCCCTCTGTGCTGCTTGGCTAATGAGAAATCATTGACTTGAGCAGCAATGGGTGGCTGTGTTTGGCTGAGAGTGTAAGCTGACCTTTTTTATTCCATCACAGCTCCCATTCTGATTAGAATTGATATGGCTAGAAGGAAGTGTTTAATATTTGCCTTAGCCAGGCTGTGGTTGGTCAGAGAACATCTGTAGTGTAGTGCCTGTTTACTATAAATTGAACAGAGAGAAGGTTTTCCCCAGGCAAGTACCAGCAGTGAGCTATCTCACAAATATCCATTGAGCTGAAATTTGTGTAGATCTAGTACTGCATCCCATTGTAGTTACTTTTATACAATCAGAAAAAGCAGCTATATTGTGGTTGCTATCAGTTTATTGTCAATCCCCTTCAGCTATCAGATCTCTATCTATGAAAGCTGTTAACTGAACTACAACAAGCAACGTTTGTTGTGCTTTCTGATGATATATACCATTGTGTTACTAGGAGAGCATCTTGCAGTTCATGCTCTATCAGGACACTGCTCTGCTTAGTAAATTAATGCTGTGCTTTATTCAAACGTTCCTTCTGATGTAGGCCACTCCATCCAGGTTGCGTATTATTCCCAGAAAAGGCTACATCCACTTTTAGATTCTATGCACTATGCGTCAGTAAAGCAACATCAGCAACAGATGCTTTGGCGTCACATATGTGACGCTGACCAATAGTCTTTCACTCAATGGTATATATATGTTGTAACAAAAAGAACAGTTTCAGCAAAGACTTGTGGATTAAAATGCAGTTCGGGACTTTACAAGCATTCTCCATGCGAATGCTTGCTAAGTACTAACAGGCCACCCTGACTCTAAATTGAGAGTAATTTACCTCCCTGCCTGATGGGCATTTTCGTGGAAAAACCGCACGAACGCTATGGGAACTGTATGCACGGCCGCCATTTTGGGACTTCCACGTGTTCGTGGCCATTTTATCTCCCGAACAGCGGTGTTTGCCGTCGAGTGTCTGGAACTAAAATCGGACACTCAAATAGGCGAACACCGCTGAGACCTCCATACCTTCGGAAGAGACACGCCAAAACTACCGAACGACAAGGCAACGGATGGGGATTTCAGTGAACCCAGGATGGCATACGGATGGCCAGCCGTTCGGGAGTTTTTACACACGATCTAAGACCGACTGCAGGGCCAGCATTCATGGAACTGTTTTCGGCTACTCTGCCCGTGCGGTCGGTCAAAACTTTCAAGTCCCATATTTCCCGAACGGCTGAACCGAATGGGCTGATTTTTAAATATGTTAGTCCTCCAGAAACAAGTATTTGGGGGTACATCCGAACTTTGGGGAAAATATGTTCCTTTTTAATTATGTTATTTAGTTATCTAAGGGGAGGAGATGTACAGAATGTATATTGTCTTGATTGGTTGTACTGTTAATTATGTGGGTGTCTCCCTTGCATGGGCAGAATCACATAAAAGAGAGTGTCTGTCAATAAATCCTTAGTTCTTCTTGACCCTTCAAAACGTAGCCTCGTCTCGTTCTTGAAAGGGGAATCTCTGCAGCATAATCACTCAGCTCTTTTCAGAGCTGCACTTGACTTCTACTCCTGATCCAGCAGAAGGGAATAGGCGACTCCATCACTACACAGCGACTTGCCGGGAAGAAAAGGACGTCCCCAACGGCTGATACCCTCACCATACCAGGGTAGCCGTTACATATGTCATGGATTAATACCAGTTCCTTGCCATGTTGTGGTTCCTGAATACCAAAGAGCACTATTATTTATCTATAGTTTCTTACTAGTTTTCCAATAACTTGTTGATTGACTGTCCTGATCTCCTGACCTTGGCCCTCACTATTATGCTTTCTGTTCTCCCTTGACCTTAGCCTATTCTATGGCCAGGGCCGGACTGGGGATACGAAGCAGCCCTGGAAAAAAATCTATGCCAGCCCCATAAGTCATTGTGCTATGTAGGATGTTATATATTAAAGGACCACTATAGTGCCCTGAGGGTGCCCCCACCCTCAGGGTCCCCCTCCCGCCCGGCTCTGGAAGGGTGAAAGGGGTAAAACTTACCTTTTTCCAGCGCTGGGCGGGGAGCTCTCCTCCTCCGATCCTCCTTCTCTCCTCCCCGTCGGCTGAATGCGCACGCGCGGCAAGAGCTGCGCGCGCATTCAGCCGGTCACATAGGAAAGCATTCATAATGCTTTCCTATGAACGCTGGCGTGCTCTCACTGTGAAAATCACAGTGAGAAGCATGCAAGCGCCTCTAGCGGCTGTCAATGAGACAGCCACTAGAGGAAATAGGGGAAGGCTTAACCCATTCATAAACATAGCACTCTGAAACTGCTATGTTTATGAAAAAATGGGTTAACCCTAGCTGGACCAGACACCCAGACCACTTCATTAAGCTGAAGTGGTCTGGGTGCCTAGAGTGGTCCTTTAATGTATGTATATATATATATTATTGATACATTTCTTCTTCTAATTCAAAATATTAGTCCTTTCAGGGTAATTAAAGTATACAGTAAAGCATACTCACACACAGACACAGACAATCTTACTGATGCACACAAATAGGCTCATTGACAGACAATCTCAATGACACACACAGACAAGGTTACTGGCAGACACACAAATTTAGTACAGACAAACTCTGATACACAGACAAGCTTACTACTGACAAGCCCATTGACACACACATGCTCCCTACAGAAGAGCTCACTAACACAGATTCACTACAGACAAGCTCACTGACACACACGTGCTCACTACAGACAAGCTCACTGACACACACGCTCACTACAGACAAGCTCACTGACACATACGGTCACTACAGACAAGCTCAATGACACACACGCTCACTACAGACAAGCTCACTGACACATATGGTCACTACAGACAAGCTCACGATCACACCCATGCTCCTTACAGACAAGAGCTCACTAACACACACACACATGATCCCTACAGACAAGCTCACTGACACACATACAAGCTCACTCACTAGCAGGCACACACACACACACACAAACTCACTAGCAGGCACACACACACAGAGGCTCCCTCACTAGCAGGTGCGCACACAAACACAGAGGCAGACAGTCACTGACACCGAGGCAAACATCCACACATACAGACAGGCAGACAGCCACACACACACAGGCAGACAGTCACACACACACAGGCAGACAGTCACACACACACAGGCAGACCGTTACACACACACAGTCACACACACACACAGTCACACACAGACAGTAACATACACAGGCAGACAGACACACACAGGCAGTCACACACAAAGGCAGTCACACGCACACACAGACAGTCACACACAAACACACACTAACAGTCACACACACACAGTCACAGTTACACACAGTGTCACACACTCACAGACAGTCACAGTCACACACACACAGTCACACACACAGACAGTCACAGTCACACACAGGCAGTCGCACACAAAGGCAGTCACACGCACACACAGACAGTCACACGTTACGCACACACGGTCACACACGGTCACACACAGTCCGCACACACACACACAGACAGTCACAGTCCCGCACACACACACACACGGACACGCAGTCACGGTCACACACACACGGACGGTCACACACACACACAGTCCACACACACAGACAGTCACAGTCACACACAGTCACAGTCACACACACACACACACAGACAGTCACACACACGGTCACAGTCCGCACACACACAGTCACACACTCACAGTCACACACTCACGGTGAGTCACAGTCACGGTGCACACACACACACACAGTCACACACAGTCACACACACACAGTCACACACTCACACAGACACACTGACCTCCTGCTTGGAGCTCCTCAAGGCTTGTTGTTGGGGAAGCAGGGACTCCTTCCTGCTTCCCATGCTGCAATTAGCCGGGTCCCGCCGCACAGTAAGCTCCGCCTCCGCCGCACGCTAAGCCCCGCCCGCCACACAATAAGCTCCGCCCCTCCGCAATTAATTATTATTTTTTTTAAATGATCCCGGGCGGCCATGTGTGAGCCGGCCGCCTGGCTCCCCCTGCTCCCATGGGGCTCTGTGCGGCCGCACAGCTCACACACGGCCGCCGGGATCACAGGAGCTGTCAGACCGGCCCCAGGTGCCGCGGGCCACCGGGAAATTTCCCGGTATCCAGGTGGGCCAGTCCGGCCCTGTCTATGGCAGACTGTTTAACTTGCCACTGCATTAAGCCTGGTCACTCAGAATACTGGTATAGGCTACTATCTTCATTCTCTGTTCTGGCTTCACCTATGCTTTTATGCTAGAGGTTCATTAACTATGCAAAATGGGCAGACAGAATACAGCACAATCTTTAAAACCTATCAACCTCATACAATGTGTGTTGGATCTTGGAGATTCCATTTTATAATAACATTTTGCTAATTTTATTACCCCAAAAAGTGTGGAAGGATACATTGTGACTGCCAGGAGTTAATACTACAGTAGAGGGGCTTGAATATGTGCCGAGATACTGCATAGCCATAAAGTGGCTCTGTCACCTCAAACCTGGCTTTCTCCTATTGTTTCCTCTTCTCTTTGTCTCTCAGAATATGTTTTTCTCTCCTTCCTTTTTGATCTACTTCTCTTAAAAAAACAGAAGACAAAATAGGGACTGCTTTGTCACATGTATTTTCCCTACATCTGACAAATCTTGACAAAAAGTGGAGCTTAAGGCAAGCTCCAATTCCTTTGCTAGTTTGACAAACTTAACAAAGGAAGTTGTAATATTTTGTTGTCGTGTTAATGAAGCGTATGTGCCAATGAAGCTCGGATACCAATTGTAGGTGTCAGTTTGTTGAATACAGCAGAGAGGTGAAAGTAACTGTGACTCACAGAAAGGCTGCATTATTCAAACTGACTCCGCTGAAACCAGGTAGAGTAAACAATCATCCCACAGCTTGAATACTGCTTTGTGATTGGTTGGAACATATATATGCAAATATTACAGAGGTTGAGCTTGCCTTAAACTCCACCCCTTGTCAAGATTTGTCAGGCACAGCAAAGTTACAGAGAAAGAGAAGAGGAAACAAAAGGAACAATTTGAGGTGACAGAGCCACTTTAAGAGCCATTCAGTTATCTTGCTTAATACAGGCCCTCCTCACTTACCGACCAGGTTTTGTTCTTCCGACCTGGTCGTAAAAAACAAATTGGTCGGTAAGTTAGGATGCACTAGCGAGCATGCGCAAGAAAGCAGGACTATGTGCGGGGAAATCTAAACACAGAATAAATGGGCTGGAAAATATTTGGCTGATTAATGCATACAACTATAGTTGGTTCACAGCAAGTCCAAAACCCTATACAAGCTATACAAGAATTTACAATAAAGTTTTTAGCAGATATTGTATTTAACCAGTCCCCAAGCCCTCCACATTGGAAACAGGGAATCAATTTGTGGTAAGCAATTTCCTTCTAGGATCCTCCCCCTCAGTCTGAAACAAAGTCTACTCGGAGAAACTGTTGAGTCTGTTACAAAAAAAAAGTTGAGATGGTCTCTAGCTACTACTGCTCTTTCTGGCCATCTCTAGCTGGCCTATTCATTACAGGCTGTTTTAGAGTCTATCATACTAACCTAAACTATTAGGCTAGTAACACTGTTTTGCACTGGGATTACTTTATAGATAAGGAACAGGATTATTTATTATTTATTATTTTTATTCATATCAATCTATATATTCTTTATACTCCAGTTTGTGCTCATAGTGCTGGTTCTGCGGATCCAGTATCTAGAGCTCTATTTTTTTGATATTTATCTAAGGGGTTAAGCCCCAGGACATCTCTGGAGTGTCCATACAGGTGTGTTTTCTTTGGGCCCCAAAGCTGGTTGATCCGAGTACGATTCAACCGGTAGTAGGGGTACCCATTTTTTATCTAACCTAAACTATTGAATCAAATGACTGTGTATGTGACTTGATTTATTTGTTCTGAATTCATGACTTTGGCTTGTTCTGAATCCCTTGATCTTGGCCCATGCCTGGTTATGTTAAGGCAAGCTAATCAAAGGTCATGATAACGTGGCTACACCAATCAACTCAAAATACCCCATACATTCTCAATCCCCTGTGTTGTCTACTTTTGAAAATGGTATGCCATAACAGTGAATATTTTTTTTGCTAGACTGCAATAATTAAAGGCAACTTAGGCCCAGAAAATCAAATTTGTAAAATGTACAAGTTTGAAAGGGCATGTAATATATTTGGCCCTGTAAATTTCCAAAAAAAACTGAAAACCAGTACATGGTAATGTTACATATATGAGATGCTAATTAAAAAAATATCGGGGCTTTATTGAACTAAAACATATGTGGATTATGAAATGCTCTTAAAAATGGAAATCGTGTATGTTTGAAAAAACACAAATGAAAATATCATTACTAAATGTGGCCAGCATTTGTGATAAAATGGTTTTAACAACCAGCTCAAAATACCCTCAGTTGTCTACTTCTACAAATGGTATGTCATCATGTTCTGGGCTGCAATAGTATCCCAAAGGCGAAGAATGTCTAGCAAATCATTCAGTTACATTTACATGAATGAAAACTGAAAGGGTCAAGCACCATATACACGCATAAAACGAAGAGTACTTGAGACATTGTTGAACAGAAATATTAGGGCATTTGATTGCAGTAGTGCCAGATATATTAATACTTTGTAAACTAAATAATAAAGATAATGATTATGAAGTTATAATTTCTTCTAATAATCTTCTCATTTTCTTCTATGTACAACAGTCACCTTTTGGTGAATCCACATCACAATCTGACCGAAAACCAGCAGAAAGGCCTATTTCCACCTCTCATTGCTGCACATTTATATACTACATAATGTACATAATGAATTTGGGCATGATGCAAGATGATAGATAAATTCTTACCACTTATTTTTTAAATGTGTGGAAAATGTATTGCATGGATATAACTGTACAGGTATCCATATTGTTTTTATGTGTATGTTTACATATGAAATAAACTGCAAAATGAAATGTGTATTGACTAATTTCTCAAAACATATATAATAAACATTTTTGAGATTTATTAATATTGCTTTTTTTCAATACTATTCATTTTCAAGCCATTGTATAGCTGTACAATTCACACATTTTTTCTTTATCGCTGTTTGTGAACTTTTGACAGCTCGTAAAATGATAACAATGGAAAAGGAATACTAATGAATCAGGTTTATATCTTTTGAGGTTTAGATGATGACAATTTGCTGGTAATCACCTAAAAATGGGTTTTTGTCTTCTTTTGGATGAAGTATAAAACTATGATATGTGTAAAAGGTTGGAATTTATGGATTTAATTAGTTTTTCAGCCTATAATATTATGTACCTATACAACAGCTAAGTGGCAAACAAGGCGAAGGGAATGATTTGAGCAAGTAGAGCACTTGAGAAATCTGTGCCTACAGGTGCTCATGACATAAACCCGGCCCTGCGAGCATCAGTGCCTGAAAGCAGGGGCGTACCTAGAGCATTTGGCACCCGGGGCGGATCCTGTGCTTGGCACCCCCCCCAAAAAAAAAAAAAAAAAAAACCTGTAAAAAATGTTAAAGGTTTTATTTCTTTTATTTTTACAATTTGTAAACTTTGCAAAACCGCTGTCAGCCCCTCCTACAAAACCCTTGTCCTGCCCTGCCCCTCCTATAAAACCTCTGTCCTGCCCCTTCTACAAATCCTGTACTGCCCCATCTACAAAACCCCCGCAACCCCCTTCCACAAATCCCCTGCTTATCCCCCCTTATAAAGACTCCTGTCCCAATACAAAACCCCCACCCCCTTCTACAAAATCCCTGCAGCCCCACACACACATTTACAGGCAGACAGTCACACACTCAGTTACAGACACAGTCACACACTCAGTTACAGACAGACAGTCACACACTCAGTTACAGGCAGACAGTCACACACATTCACAGGCAGACAGTCACACATACACATTTCCTCCGTGCGGCCAGTTTATCAGCTGTTTGCTTGAGTGAGCTGTACTGGCCGCACGGCACCCTAACTACCATGGGACACTGTGCGGCCACAGCTCACACAGCCCCCTCCAGCCAGGGCCGGTACAAGGATTTTTGCCGCCCAAGGCAAAAGTAAAGTTTGCCGCCCCCCATGTGACATCACAATGCCCCAGCCATATGATTTGCCATGTTAACTAACGCCAGTGCTGCAGTGCCGCCGTGTTTACATTAAAGGCCTGCAGGGACAGGCTATAGACACCAGAACCACTACATTAAGCTGAAGTGGTTCTGGGGACTATAGTGTTTCTTTAATGTGAGGTAAATTAGAGCTTAGTGCCCCGAATAATATACTAGATTGCCTACTTACAACCAGATGAGGATGATGATGGGCTCTAGCTGCAGTCTGGCTCCACTGGTCTGGTGCAGAACAGGCTCTCTGGAGGCGGTTTGTAACTGTGGTCACAAAAATCAATGTTCTGGGAGAACGGGAAGCAGCTCCATTTTTGGGGGTCCTTTACACAGCTCAAGGTCTGGGTCCCAGGGTCCACCTTCATGTTCCACCAATGAGTTTGTTCACAGGGGGTGGAGTGTGTAGGGGATGTCCTGATATGTGTGTAAGGAATGCATTGTGTGAAATTGTGTTTGTATGTGTAAGGACTGCAAGGTGTGTTTCTGTGTATGTATGGGATGCATTGAATGTGTGTAAGGGGTGCATTGAGTGTGTGTAATGAATGCATTGTGTGTTTCTGTGTGTGTAAGGGATGCATTGTGTGTAACGGTTGCATTGCTTGTGTATGTGTGTCTGTGTGTTTTTCTGTGTGCAAGGGGTGCATTGTGTGTATGTGATGAATGTCAATCTCTCCTCCCGCTCCAATTTCCTTCTCCTCCTCCCAATTTCTCTTTCTCACCCCCCTCCTAATTTCTCTCTTACCCCCGCTCCTATTTTCTCTCACCCCCCCTCCTTTCTCTCTCACCCACCTTCTTTTTCTTTCTCACCCACCCCCCCTTTTCTCTCTCTCACCCCCCCTTATTTCTCTCTCACACCCCCCCTTATCTCTCTCTCACACCCCCCCTTATCTCTCTTTCTCACCCCCTTATCTCTCTTTCTCACCCCCTTATTTCTCTTTCTCACCCCCTTATTTCTCTTTCTCACTTTTTCTCTTTCTCACCCCTTGTTCTCTTTCTCACCCCCTCTTATTTCTTTCTCCCCTCTCTCACCCCCTTATTTCTCTTTCTCACCCCCTTGTTTCTTTCTCACCCTCTCTCACCCCCTTATTTCTCTTTCTCACCCCCCTTATTTCTCTTTCTCACCCCCCTTGTTTCTTTCTGCCCCTCTCTCACCCCTTATTTCTCTTTCTCAGCCCCCCCATTTCTCTCTCTCACCCCCTTCTTTCTCACCCCCCCTCCCCTTACTTTCTCCCCCTCCCCCCTACCTGGTGGCCGAGCCCTCTATTGGTCCGCGGGTACAGGGAGCTTTTGTTTGCTGTACCCGGCCGGACTAACAGGAAGTGCACACTCAGTGAAATTGTGCAATGCTGCAGTGAGGGAGCTGACAGGAGCGCTCCCTCCTGTCAGCCCCTCTCCTCAGGCTGCGCCCGGGCGGTGCGGTCCGCCCTCATGGACGCACCGCCCGGGAAAAGCTGCAGCCGCCTGAGGCTCTATACAGAGCGCTCGGGCGGCTGCAGCATGGGGGGGTGCGGGGGGCTGGCCATGGCACCCCCCACCCGGCTGGCACCCGGGGCGGACCGCCCCCCCCGCCCCCCCCTTAGTACGCCACTGCCTGAAAGCAATCTAAGGAAGAAGTACCAGCGGAAATGTGATCATTCATTACCCTGCAACATCAAATATATGTATGTGGATAAAATAACAACATATTATACCAGTAATTACTACTTTGCTGCTTCCTTCATCCACAAAAAAGAATTGCAATTTTTCTTTACAAAATACATCTTTTTTGGGGGGTCAAACCTATGTTTACATATTTATCCATATGGGATGAATAGAGAAGCATGCAGATAGGATGGAGATAAATGGAGAAGGCTGTAGGCTAATTGGACTGCTGTAGGCACACTGGCATGGAATGATGAGTGATTAATGGGACCTCATATCCTGTGAATTGTAGATAGGAATACTGAAATGGTGTCAAGTTTACTTACCTTTATCATCAATCCCCTTATCAAGGGTTTGGAATTAGTGGACGCAGCATGTATAGAACAAAGCAAGTCACTTAACTTAAGTCTTTATGGTTTAAACAAATAGCATAAACTGGAAAGTCCAAGGACAAAACCATATAGTGTGGGGTCAGGACCAGCAAAACAAAAGTATTTTTGTTAGATAGTCTGGGCATGATCATCACAGCAAATATATAAAGTATTTGTCTTGTTAAACATGAAAGCAAAGGTTAACTAAATGGTCCAGAACATGATCACACAGGCAAAGGTTAACCAAGACAGGTGCAGGCAATCATGGGAAGAAGGCTTTCAACCTCTGTGAATTTACAAGACAACTGAGCACAGGGTGCTCTTGATTAAAAAAAGGGTAGAAGGAATGGGAGCCCTCCGACAAGGAGAGGTCTCTTGGCCTATATAAGTGCATGGCCTTCCTTGTCCTCGCCCCATTTCAGACACCCTGAGGGGATCCTGGAGCAATGTGGGGGGGAACAACACATACCATCCAGCATGCCCACTGGAGGGGAGGCAAGCCTAAGGGCAGACAGTGTGCGTCTCCCTTCCTCTGCACCCCGCAACCCACGGCGGGCGAGGAGAGAGAGTGGAGCATCTGCCACTCATGGTGCGCCTCTGAAGAGCTAGCCGAGAAGAGAGATCGGTGCCTACTTGACTTCAGTGATGCTGAGGTCCATGTGGCACCTGGTGAGTGAGCGTGGCATGCCTACTTCTCCAGGCGCACCGTGACACCCCTCAAGCATCAATTCCTCCTAACTTGCAGCAGGCTTGCTCTACCTGAAATACTCACTTGCATCTAAGTTAATGTTGATGTTCAGAGCATTCTGTTTTTCATCTCTTTGGAGATATTTTGTAACTCTAGCCATATTAAGGCACATTACCTTCAATGGACACTATGGGCACCAGACCACTTCATATTATTGAAGGGTCTGGGTGTCTTGCCCATGACACCTTAACACTGAAATTTAAAACATTGCAGTTTTAGACACAGCCTCAGCCTCTTCCGGACAGTCACTAGAGTACCTTCCTCGATTTACACACAGTTTTACTCTATGAAACTAACTTGCATGAGGATGTCCAGCATCTTAAAAATCCCCTTAGGAAAGCATTAATTTAATGTTTTCCTATGGAGAAGGCCTAATGGTGTGGCATGCGCATTAGGTTAGCCCATCCCCATGATGTTGCGGGAGGAGGAGACCAAGTCAAAGCCAAGGGACCTCAGTGCTAGAATCAGGTAAGTGAAAAATGTTTTTTTTACTCTTTCTTGACTGGGGGTCTGTGGCTCAGAAATAAGACTCCTTTAAGACCAGGGGGGCTGTGGCTCAGAAATAGGACTCCTTTAAGAATTGCTATCATCTACCACCCCCCCGGTTATCCTAGACTATTCATTGAGCACTTTTCTTCCTGGCTTCCCCACTTCCTCTCATCTAACACTACTTACCTTATACTTGGGGATTTCAATATCCCAATCAACAACCCCAATTGCACTGATGCCTCTCGTCTGGTCTCTGTAACCTCCTCCTTTGGCCTTACACAATGGTCCAATTTAGCAACCCATACAGCGGGAAACACTCTTGATCTTGCCTTCACCAACCTCTGTACTGCCTCTAATCTCTCCAATATTTATTTTCCTCTATCTGACCACCATCTGCTGACTTTTGACATTGGCATACCTAAGACCCAATTGACACCACCGTCTGAACATCACTCTCACAGAAACCTCCAATCTCTTGACCTAGAGCATTTCTCCACTAATCTCCAAATTCTCCTTTTACCTATCTCAAACCTCACCTGTCCTAGTTCTGCTACCTCCTTCTACAATTCCACCCTCTCCTCTCAACCAGACATCATGGCACCTTGTACATTAAAATGCCACAGGCGCCCCCAACAACAACCCTGGCACACCAAGCTCACTCGATATCTCCAAAAATGCTCCAGAACTGCTGAACGCTGTTGGAGAAAGTCTCACTGTACATCTGACTTTCTCCACTATAAATTTATGCTGAGCTCATACAGCTTGGCTCTTTCCTCTGCAAAAGTTAATTACTTCAATACCCTCATAACCACACTCTCACGCAAACCCAAACAACTATTTTGCACATTTAACTCTCTTCTGCTGTTCCTCCTCCACCTACTAACTTGGCCACCTCAGACTTTGCAACTCACTTCACTGACAAGATCTCTACAATCAGAGAAGAGATCTCTCATCTTTCTTCTTCCTCTTACAATACTTCCCCTAACTTCACTCCCTCTGCTGTTCTATGTTCATTCGCACCCGCTACATTGGAAGAGGTTTCTGCTCTGCTCCAGTCCTCCCGCCCCACCACCTTCTCCCTAGATCCAATTCCCTCGCATCTCATCCGTACTCTGTCTTCTTCTCTTTCTCCACCTCTCACTAAAATTCTCAATCTCTCTCTCCTCTAGTATATTTCCATTGCCTTTCAAACATGCAGGTGTAACCCCAATTCTAAAGAAGCCCAATCTTGACCCTAACTCCCCATCCAACTATCGTCCTATCTCGCTACTGCCTTTTGCATCCAAGATCCTTGAAAGAATTGTGTATGCGAGATTGACAGACTTCCTCGAGTCCAACTCTCTGCTAGACCCACTTCAGTCTGGTTTCCGTGCTAAGCACTCTGTGGAAACGGCACTGACCAAAGTATCCAATGATCTACTCACTGCAAAATCTCGTGGTCACTACTCTATCCTAATTCTCCTTGACCTGTCTGCGGCTTTTGACACTGTTGATCATCAACAGCTTCTTCTCATCCTCCGCAATATCGGTCTACAAGATATTGCTCTCTCCTGGTACTCCTCCTACCTCTCCCAGTGTTCTTTCAGTGTTTCTTTCTCTGGCTCTGCTTCTTCTCCCCAACTCCTCTCTATTGGTGTCCCCCAAGGTTCAGTCCTTGGTCCCCTACTGTTCTCAATCTATACTGAATCCCTTGGTAAACTTATTAGCT